AAATTGCAACTTGCAGGTTTGTGATACATATTGTGATCTCTAGAACAAAAACAATACGATTTAAATTCTTACACAATTTATCATTGTTATCATTATTGTTGTTGTTGTTGTTATTACTAGTATTGTTTACTTTGATCAGTTCTGTTGCATTCTGGATGTCTTGAGTTTTGCTTTCCTTCAATAACAATCCATTCATTCTTATGTTTCTCACCCATCATGCTGTTCTCCTTCCTCGATTTTTCATTCCTCAAATAAGCAAATTTCATTTCTCTTTAATATCAGGATGATGAAGGGGACAATGCTTTCCACATTGCAGCTTTTTCTGCAAATATGATACGTGAGAATCTTCAGTGGATTGTCATCATGCTCAGGAATCCTGATAGCGCAGTTGAAGCTAGAAATCACAGGTGAGCTTGAAATCCAAACAGTGGTATTACTACTTAACTCTTATGGACTTTTTGGTAATCTGTTTTTTTCAGCATCGCGACATGTTCAACTCTTGTGACTTGGTTGGTACATTATTTCTGAATTTTGCAGTGGCAAAACATTACGTGACTACTTGGAGGCTCTACCTCGTGAATGGATATCCGAAGATTTGATGGAGGCTCTTATGGAGAAGGGAATTTATTTGTCTCCAACAATGTAAGAAGATGCTCTAGGATAATTTTCCAATTTTTATCTTATTATTATGTGCTTTGAGTTGGCAATCATGTAGAGTTTTATTAGCTATGTAATATGGTTCATGGGGCATGCAGATATGATATAGGAGATTGGGTTAAATTCAAGAGATGTGTCACAGAACCTAACTATGGTTGGCAAGGTGCAAAGCATAAGAGTGTGGGTTTCGTACAAAATGTCCTGGACAAGAATAATCTTGTTGTTTCATTTTGCTCTGGAGAGGCTGCCAGAGTACTAACAGATGAAGTTGTCAAAGTTATTCCACTAGACAGGGGGCATCATGTACGACTTAAGCCTGATGTCAAAGAACCAAGGTTAACCTTTCCCTTCTATTATGCTGCCATCTGCCTTTTCTGAATTGCATACCTTTTTTGACTGATGTGTTTTAAAATTCAGACATGGCATTTATTTTTCCATTGCGATTACTATTTTCAAATGTTGTAAAAGTGTTGTGCTGGGAAAAAAGTGTAGATGCGCAATGGGCTGGGGTTAATGTGGCATATGTTTGGTTTTTTACAAGTCAAGAACGCTCTTTTCTAGATAAATTTGCTGAAATCCTGTCATCAGTGGATGAGGGCTTGGCGAATTGACATTAACATTTTGTTGATCATTTACCATCCATCAAATTTACTGCAGATTTGGTTGGCGTGGTCAGGCACGTGACAGTATCGGAACTGTACTATGTGTGGATGATGATGGTGTACTCCGTGTTGGGTTTCCTGGAGCATCTAGGGGATGGAAAGCTGATCCTGCAGAAATGGAACGGGTAGAGGAGTTCAAGGTTGGGGATTGGGTTCGCATTCGTCCCAATCTCACATCAGCTAAACATGGGTTAGGAACTGTAACTCCTGGAAGCATTGGTATAGTGTACTGCATACGGCCAGATAACAGTCTCTTGTTGGAAGTGTGCTACCTTCCTCACCCATGGCACTGTGAGCCAGAGGAAGTTGAACCAGTTGAACCATTCAGAGTAAGATGATATCTTCTTCTTTTGACTTGTGAACTACAGAGTAATTATTTCCTGTTTGGCTGTTTCATTGCTTACTTTGAGAGTTACTCTTCCACAGATTCACGATCGAGTCTGTGTGAAACGATCTGTTGCTGAACCAAGATATGCTTGGGGTGGGGAAACACATCACAGCGTCGGAAAAGTGATTGATATTGAGGCCGATGGTCTTTTGATTATTGAAATTCCCAACAGGCCTATAGCATGGCAGGCAGATCCTTCTGACATGGAAAAGGTTGAGGACTTCAAGGTATGGTTTGTGCTCCACCATGTCTCTCTTTTTGAGCCTATTTAATAAGGAAAAATTTGGTTGAGATGGCTGGAATTGTTGTTGAAGGGATAATCGACAGATGGCTGTAATTTGTGTTCTAATTTTTTGGTTATCAACCAATTTGGTAAATCTGTTCAAATAAGTTCAAGTTTGGTATGAAATAGCTGGTAAGCTGAAAAAGCATTCTGCCACACGGCCCTTTGTATGATATATTGTTTCATTTCAATTTACATAACCAGGTAGGTGACTGGGTTAGGGTGAAGGCTTCAGTAACCTCACCAAAGTATGGGTGGGAGGACATAACAAGGCACAGCATTGGTCTAATTCACAGTTTGGAAGAAGACGGTGATGTAGGAGTTGCCTTTTGCTTCAGGAACAAACCATTCTGTTGTTCGGTGACTGACATTGAGAAGGCGTCTCCTTTTGAAGTTGGACAAGAGATTCGTGTAATGTCATGTGCTACTCAGCCCAGACTTGGATGGTCAAATGAGACTCCAGCCACTGTAGGCAAAATTGTGAGAATTGACATGGATGGTGCTTTGAATGTAAGCTTACGCTGTCTTGCTCATATTTACTTGGTAGAGAAAAAAAACATTTGTCCATATCTAAAAATAGGTATCTGTTAGACCCTATACGCTGCTGCATTTACCACCCAAAACATCATTGAAAGTAAAAATGCAACAGAAATTTAATGAGCCATTTTGATTTTAGTCCATTATTTACCCAAATCTAAATTATTGTCAATTGCGATTCTTTTAACTTCATTGGCAATTGATATAAATTTGGAGTACAGAAAATATGTAGAAACAAAAGTTAGACTAAAAAAATTCGGACTATATTGATAGCGATAACACAAAAGTAAAGTAAAAAAAAAGCACAATATAGGAATTCATAAAACCAGGAGTTGATCAGACTTTGTTGCAAATTATTCTTCTCCTGCCTTTAGAGACCTTCAAACTTGTCAGATTCTTAAACGTATAATTCGTTTTTTCAACTCTAGGTGTTTATCCTTTTATCCAGTTTGTACATCTTTCATAAATAAACTACAATTGATCCTCATGTTGGCCATTTTCATAGTATAGTTCAAATAAGGGCACCGATTTTTTGTTGGACAGTGGATTGACATGGCTGTAATTAAAGAGAATAGGGATTCATCTATGTGATATCAAGCTCCCAAGCCAACTATGAACTGTCACTTATCTATATAAGCTTTAACCCCCCGCCCCCTGGAGTTGCTACAAAGATGGTCCATATTGATTTGAAAGAGGGGAAAAGTTACTGCAGACAAATATGGACCTGTCCTTGCAGTAGCTCCATGGTGGATGGATTGGTAAACCTCAATTTGCTATGAATTTGTTGACTTGCTGATGGAATTTGACCTTTAATCTTTTTTTAGGTCGCTGTAGCTGGGAGACAAAGCTTCTGGAAGGTGTCACCCGGAGATGCAGAATTGCTTCCAGGGTTTGAAGTAGGTGATTGGGTACGTTCAAAACCGAGTTTGGGGACAAGACCGAGCTATGACTGGTATAGCATTGGGAAAGAGGGCTTCGCCATTGTACATAGTGTACAAGATACCGGATATTTAGAACTGGCTTGTTGCTTCAGGAAAGGGAGATTGCATACTCATTACACTGATGTTGAAAAGGTCTGCGGTTTACGGGTCGGGCAGCATGTTAGGTTTCGGGCAGGTCTTGTTGAGCCCAGGTGGGGCTGGAGAGGCGCTCAGCCAGATTCACGAGGTGTGATAACATGCGTCAATGCTGATGGTGAGGTGAGGGTTGCATTTTTCGGCTTACAGGGTTTCTGGAAGGGGGACCCGGCTGACCTCGAGCCAGAGCAGGTGTTTGGAGTGGGGGAATGGGTGAAGTTGAGAGGGAGCTCTCAGAGCTGGAAATCGATAGCGCCGGGAAGCATTGGAGTTGTGCAGGGCATTATTTATGAAGGAAACGAATGGGATGGAAGTATTTCAGTGTCTTTCTGCGGCGAGCAAGAGAATTGGACCGGGCATCACGGTGATGTCGAAAGAGTGGAAAAGTTCCGGGTCGGGCAGCGGGTCAGGGTCAAGAACTCTGTGAAACAACCGAGATTCGGGTGGTCCGGGCACGGTCACGTCAACGTCGGGACAATATCCGGAATCGACGGGGACGGCAAGCTGAGAATCTACACCCCGGCGGGGTCGAAGTCATGGGCGTTGGACCCTTCGGAAGTGGACATTGTGGAGGAGGAAGAGATCAAAACCGGCGATTGGGTCAGGGTGAGGCCAAGTGTTCCCCTCCCAACACACCAATGGGGTGAGGTTTGTCACACCAGCGTAGGGGTGGTGCACCGGGTAGAAGAAGGTGGGGACCTCTGGGTGGCGTTCTGCTTTCTTGACAGGCTATGGATCTGCAAGGCGTCCGAAATGGAGAAGGTGAGACCGTTTAGAGTTGGGGACAGGGTGAGGCTCAGAGAAGGGCTGGTGGCGCCTAGGTGGGGGTGGGGTATGGAGACCCATGCTAGCAGAGGTGTGGTGGTTGGGGTGGACGCGAACGGGAAACTGAGGATCAAATTCCAATGGAGAGAAGGGAGGCCTTGGATTGGAGACCCTGCTGATATTGCTATTATTGATGAGGACTTTTTTGTCCATGCATCCTAATTATCATCCTTTAAATAATACTCCCTACTCAATAATAGCAATAAAATTCACTCACCCGTGACTTTGTTTTCGTCACACGGATATTAGTCGCTCCTTTGATTTGATCCGAGGCGTGTGGGTTATGGCTACAAACAGAGAGAGAGATTGTTGCCACTGCTCTGTTTTCATACAGTTCTAACTTCATTCATTATGGGTGATATTGCTTGGGCTGGATGGAGCATGTAGTTTTCTAGTCAAATATACGTGTAGTGTATACATATATATGTGCATCAGACAGGATATATTTTTATTACGTCATGTATAAAAAATATGGTTCGTTTTTGTTTTTGTTTTTTTCCTTCAGTATCTGCAGCTTTCTTGCATTGTAAAGTTTACTACTGACCCATCAGAATTCCGAATAGAATATGATTGTTGTAAACTTCAATTTCTTTATACTTGGTCAATCTGTAAACTGCCAGAAAGTATTCTAAATTTGAGAGCAAAGTTGAAAAACAGGACATTTACTACTCTCTGCAACAGAGCAGGAAAGCATTTCAGTATGGTATAATATGTTCTACGCCAATGTTAAAACTTCTTCAACTCCCTCTGGAGATGTGGTCGTCTTTCGGAAGGGCCACGTAGTTTATGGGAATGATGTTACCGGCAGCTCTGGCACTCTCTCTCCTCTCGCTGCCAGCAGATGATAAGCCGTGCCGGGCAGTTAGGGGCCCACGGCGACTTGGGGTGCCCATGATGGCACTTGTGTTCTGCCCCGGCTGCTTCTTCCCGGTGGACTTGGAACCGTAGAGAGCTTCTTGTTCAGCAGCAAATTGTTCTTGGAGCCGTTTTTGTTCCTAGAATATTAATGCATTTTCATCAGGAGATGAGAGTTTTCACTCCTACCTATTATTATTATTATTCATGGTTTATTATTGTTTAAGGTTAAAATTAGCCAAATACCCGGTTCCGGCGCTTTTCCTCCTGTTTCTCCTGCCGAGAAATGGTGTATTCCTCTAACGTACGGAGCAATGGAGCCTGCAGGCACAGAAATCTGGTGTGGTTAATGTGCTACAACTGGGAAAGATGAGTGTTGTATGAATGAAAAGGAGGAGGAAATGCATGCCTTATCATATAAAAAGGGGATTCCATTCTCGGCCTCCCAAGCTTTTATTTTTGCAACCAAGTTTTCGACAAGAGCTGCAGTATGGGCATTGATTATCATCATGATTGAAGCTTCTGAACATTTTCGTATTGTAAGACATGACTGGTTAGGAGAAGCTTACATGGTATCTTGCTTACAAGAACCCGCGCCTTTTCAGCCCGTTTCAGATTAATGTGAGCCCCTCTCCCGGCACTATAGCGGTTCTCATCCTGCCAAGCAAAAATGCAGCTCATGGCATGTTTTAAGTAAACTTTGCACAGTGAATCGGCAGAATACATTCTTGTGTTACCCTTTCATATTCATCGAGCCAAATTTCCTCTTGAGATGCGTGTTTCCATTTCTCCAACTTTTCCAAGATTTCTCTCCTGCTCAGAGCTTGCTCTTTTGCTTTGGTAATCTGACGATCCATACTTGAAAGAAGATCATGCAGATCACCTATCATAAGAAATACAGATAGTATTTGAGTAATCCTGGTTTCATGTAACGTTTGATTCGATGTATATAGAGATGATAAACTTGAAAACATGTGTTTTCAAAAAAAAATTGAAAATATGCCTTCATGGTGCCAAAAGCATCAAGTGTTACTTGTTCTCCACTAGGAAACATAAAATTTTGGTTTCTTGATTAAGAAGAGTAATATTTCAAATGTAATTGATACACCAATAATACATCATTCTGCTGCCTTTTATAAAGTCAGTGGTAGTAAAACGGCCCCAAAAGTATGTTTGCTCAAGACTTGTAGTGAACTAACACAAGAGTCTGAAATGAAAAATATTCCTAACTAACCAGACTAGCTGGCTGTTAAATGCAGAATTTGTTAAAATTCTGGTAAATGCATTTATACATCTTCTGTACGCATCCCAAATAGATGGCACATTCAGGAACTTCAAAGATGGAATAAAAGATACAAGTGGAAGTGTTAGAAGGTTAACAGCTTGAACATACCAGATTCCATAAGTTTCAATAGTATCTGGCGGGCTGTTTCACTGTCTACATCTAGATGAACACTTCGGTAGATTTCCTCAAGCTCATTTTGCCTCTTAAGAATCAACTCTTTCAACTTACTAGATTTTAGAGCACTTAAGCGCTCTACTTCAGCTTCAGTCTAACAAAAGAGGAAACACAGCGAGGGCAAAAAAATGCACATTACTCAAGTGTAGGAGCAAAGATGAAATTGGACACACACCGATGTGTGCCAGTTGTTCAAAGACAAAATGCATTACCAGCTCAATGACTTCAATAGCTAGAGATCCTTTACTCAACACCTCATCTACTGAGGAAGAATTCAAACAAATGACATGTTTGAATCTCTGTTGCTCCTCAATTGGTGTGTCCATAAGATTCCACAGCTCTAATAGAGTGCTACCTAGATCTTGAAGCTGCATCAAAACACAATTCCCATAAAACTAAGGCACACTAATTAAAAAGTTAATAGCTATGCAAAACACTTCTATTAGCTACACCATAAGCTCTGTCACTTGTCAAGTTATAATATGAAATTCATAACTTGGCTGAACATGAAACAAAAAAGGGAACATGGTTAAGAATTTGGAGACACGTTCATTTGCTCACGAAAATGAAATTGACTGTGGTGAGTCTACAATAAATCCCAAGTACGAAAATTAGGATTTAACAATATAGAATGAGTAACAATACCAAAAACTAATCAAGAATTATACAACAAACATTCATGCATTCAAATGACTCTGAAACAAAAAGGTTAAGTGTTACAGCATATTGAAATATACTCCTTCCATCCCTTAAAAAATTGGAGTGCTTTGTTTGATTTTCATGGAGATTGAGAAAAATGTTGAAAAGGACAAAGTTTATGGTTAAATTTTTCTAATGGAGAGACTACTAGAGAGAAGTGATGAGAGCTACTCTGCTACTCATTTATCTCTTTAAAAGGAAAAACAGACTGTAAAGTTTCTTTTGGACCAGCCAAAAACAAGGAAAGAATGATGTTTTTTGAGGGACGAAGAGGATATTGCTTTAAGTATAAAAGTTTGGAAGAGGGTGATGAATGTTGAGAGAATATTAAATGGTATATTACGATATTACCTTATTTAACCTTTGTTGTTTCATCTGCCTCAGCGAACTTAATACATCGGTTAATCTGGCAATAGTCTCATTGCTTATGCTCCTTGCTTGAGCATTATTTAGGCCACTGAATAAACTTGGATGAATATCACTTAATATGGTCTCAAACTCAACTGCCATGACAACCGAAATTTCATGAATTGCACTTATGTAGCCATTAATTTTTTGCAGACGAAGCCTCTGCAAAAGGAGCACAATTTTTTTTAAAGAGACATACAACCATCAATATCTTACATCCAAACCATATGAAATAGATCTCAAAAACCTTTTCTGACTGGAGAACTTGAAGGCGTGACTTTAGTTCTTGCAATTTCTGAGTTGTCAAGTCCAATTCATTGACCTGAACCTTAGAAGTGCCAAGGTCTTGGTCGTTTCCAACTATCTCTGCATTAATCTGTGCAATCTGCATTTCTGTCTCCAGAAATTCTTTCATCCTTTCTTGTTTCTTTGTCTTCAAGTTCTCTAATATAGGATGTATGTTGGAAATTTTTTCCTTTATATTACCCTTGTTCTCATACTGAAAAGCAAAAGAATCAATGAATAAGCAATGCAATTGCTAACCACATAAACCCCAAAGGAACAGCTTACTTACCAATGGGACTCGTTGCCCAAGAGCAGAAGCTATTTTAGCAATTTCAGCCTCAGAGTCTGCTAATGACTGGTGCAAGTCAGCTTTATACTTCCTAGTTTTCTCCACCTTAGTTCGGTAAATGTTAAGGCATTCCTGTTCAAGCTCAAGAAGCATCTTGTCTCTCTCATTTTCACTTTCCCCAATGTCATCCCATATTTCCTGGAATAAAATCATTCGTGTATTTCTGAATTCAGGACCAACAATTACATCAATATAACATTTTGAAATGACGATATTTATCTAAAATGCTATAGCAGACTAAAGAGGCTCAATCTTCACCATTAGTTTCCTAACATTTTCCGAATGTATGAATAATGCAATGAAATAAATAAAGTTCATAGACAAATAAAGAAATATTGACATCCTAATTTAAGCAATAAAATTAAATAATTATTTTCATCAGCATATCTGTCTAACAAGTATGAATATGCCTCAAAATAAATGTGGATAGCTTGAACAATAAACAAATGCAAACTACTTCTCCACATCTTGTAAACATAATTAAATACTCCGTATAAAATAAAGAACAAGTTGGAGTTGGAAGAACAAATATGTTAACCAACAAAACTCTCGCCCAAAAAACCAACAAATTTATGAAATGATCTTCAAGTATTTGCAATGTTTAAGATAGGGAGGAGAACATCTGGTGAAAGACATTTATGGAATAAGATATACGGAGTACTACAAGTATAGGCCATAACTCAGGACAATGCATCAAATCACCATAACTATCTGTGATGAACCCAGACTATAGACTATGGCACGATGGCAATTTACCTGTATATCTAATGATTTTCATTCACTAATCATGATCAACACGTACAAGCAGAAAGGTGAGAGTACTACTCAAAACTGCCTAAGATAGAAGTATAACATGTGGAGTACTTCTAGGAAATTTGGGGAAAAATTGCACTTTGGAAGTACTGTTTTCTCTTCGTTACAACCATGTAGACCATGAAACAGTACCCTTTTGGCCCTAAATATTTTGGGACCTCCAGTAGACAGGCCGTAGAACCATCAACCAGTTAAAATGGCGGAAAATGAAAAATCAAAGAATAGTAATCAGAATTATTCCACTGATTAGATGGAAACCAGCTACACATTATTCCCTGCAACTGATTTCGAGCCGCAGTGAAACCTTTTGACGATGATCGGATTCGGTGTCAGAAATCAACCTAAAAAGAAAGCTAAATACAGAGTATGTCTTGGATAGATAGAAAGGAGTAATTAGTCACTCGCCTGCAATTCTCGGAGAAGAGTGCTGCAAGTAGTGGCAGAAAGCTGAGAGGACTGGTAAGTCGCGGCAGAATTCGCCGCCGATGAGGACAACATGCCGCCGGAGATGATACGAGGAGGCGAGAAATCTCCGGCCCGGAAGGAGGAACCCTAGAAAACTGCGGAAGAGCAAAGACGGCGGAGCAGAGCGGAATGTCCGTCTGAATTCACCCGGAGATTCCGTATATTTCGACGGTTCATTTGTCTACATTTCCAATTTATATTTTCGAAAATTGGATTTTATAACTTTTGGCGGGAACTCTCCCACATTGACTCATTGAGTCGTCACTCGTGGGCTCAATGGCTATTGAAAAAATGGTTTAATCAGGTCCGGGCCTCGGCACGTTCAATACGGGCTACGCGTCACAGCCTCCAATTTTAGTCCTTACAGCCCAATTATTACTGTTGAGCCCGAAAAAGAAAGAAACTGTAACCATATTTGGATGAAATTGGAACAGGGTGTACCTTCACCTCAATTCTACATTAATATTTTTTTTTTTTGAAAGGAATTCTACATTAATATGATATTATTTGTTTTTCATCAAACTCTCACATATTTGTTTTTGAAAATATCTCAAAAGTACGTATACTAATGAATTGGGTTGAATCATTATATTTTTTTCCCCTTAATTTCTTCCAAAATATGAGTTGGAAGGCCTCCCAACAAACATTCCCTCAAAGTCAAAGCAAGGACTACACAATTCATGACCTCCTCTTTAGCAATTATATATTTAATCTGCCCACCATTTTCTACCATTGTTACTATATCTCGCAGGACATGCCTCCTACCATTTTCTTGTCGGAAAGACTTTCAATATAACACATTAACCGCCTACTAGGTCATACCATTTTAATATGCTAAATCATCTAGAACTGTCACTAACACCTGACGAGACATGCCGACTGTCCTTCAGTCATAAGGATGACTTTCGACACAAGACTCTACTTGTAGTTCTACTATGGTCTTGTTCATGTTGTCATAACATCACAACAAGAACTCCACACACTACGCAGTCACTCTTGTCTCAACTCTGATACCACATGTTGGATTGTGTGTACCCTCAGCCCAATCTTGTAATAATATGACATTATTCGCTTTTGGCTAATCTCTACATATTTATTTTTGGATACATCTCAAAAGATTTTTTACTAAATACGTGAGTTAAATCATTTTATTTTGATTATATTCCTTCTCTCATTTTATTTTGATGTGGGACTTACGAGGAATCCCAACACATGATTCTTCTTTTTTAATCTTTTTTTACAACCCCTTTTTATTTTTTAATTTAAAATAGCCACCTTCTTGAATATTGGTGTTTTAATTGATATGACACAAGTTCTCATACAAGTTATAAAATCCAAAATAAAAATATTCAGAAAGATTTAAATTGATGATGTTTACTCATACATAGTCATGGACACAGTTTCGGTTCATATCTAGACTTGGTACCCAATTGGTGGGTGGTTGACTGGTGGAAAATTGAATCGAACCAAACCGATATTTAATTACCTAAAATTCGACACTAGAAGTGCTAGTCGCAGTATCATTCCTTTTCTTTCTTTTTTCTAGACTATTGTTGCTTGCTCAAGATTGTTAGTGAATGACAATATAGTTGTTTCCAACCACTATAAAGGATAGGGGTGGTGGGGGTGAGCTGTGAAGCCCAGGCTAAGTTGCGATAATTGTTAATCATATAAATACTCCTAAATTTTCATTTCAATTTCACACAACAATATATATATTTTCTCTAGTCTCTATTCTCTTTCTCTCTATTTTTTGAAACAATTATCTCTAATATTTAATAATCTCTCATCCTCGTAATCTAAAATTCTCAATTTTCATTTCTCATATTATATTATCTTAAAAGTAATACATTATACATTTATATCTAGAAAAACTCTTTATACTCCTCCGTCCACCTAAGATCTTCCCATTACGCGTTACGAGGCTTGACCGACTTTATTTTTAATTCAATTTAATTGATTATAGGAGTAAAATTTTAAAATAAAATTTATATAGTAATAAACTACATGAAAAGTTCTACAAAACTAGAGGTGACAAGACTATATTATTTTATGAAATGACTAGTAAAAATGAGCAAACAAAGTGAGTAAAGTTTGACTCCGTGAATAGTGACTGAGAAGATCTATGGTGGACAGAGGGAGTAGTTTATATTATTAGGTTTACAAATTATATGTAAAGATGTTGGGTGTATGTAAGTTGGTTGATATCGGTAGTTTGGAACATTTTGCACTGGAGGGATAATAGTCGAGGACTTCAACTACATGTGCATGTCTAGTTTTGACGTCGACTCTATGCATTTTGCCAATAAGGCAAATGACATTTTGAGTTGAACGAGCACATAGAAAAAACTCAAATTAAACCTAAATCCGAAAGAACCTCCAAACCACGAGTTAACAATTAAGAATTAACATCCCATCTTTTCAAATACGTAGTATAATTTTGATACAAAAAAGACAAAATAACCAAGAAATTTTATGCAACTTATAGACATGAAAAGTAGTGTACACATGAGAAGAAAATATGTCTTCATATTTCCTAGGCTCCGGCCTCCGAGCATGTGTTTTTTTTTTTAAAAATTTTCCGAGCATCATGTTAAATTCTCAAAAATGATGCAATTGCATCGACTCCATTACCCGAGAATTGGCCTGAAAATGGCACCCTTCACCAGATTAGCTTCAAGGGCTCATGCCACTAAACCTAACCCAAACTCATATCAGGGTAACTTTATTACAACGGAGTTCTTTACTAAACTACCAAATATTGCAGTACCCTATTATTAAATATTAACTTAAACCGTATATTCTAACGGTTAATTCCCTGTTATTTATCTGTTTTCTGGTTTGTTAATTTGCTAGCTGTTACTGCAGAAACTCAGGCGTTTGTTAGGAGAAAGAGGGTTAAAAAGGAAGCAGTTAAGGAGCATCATGTTTTATCAAGAAATGGCCATATAGTGAGTACTACCTACGGAGTATTTAATATTTTCATGAACGGATAATTGTATTTTTTTCGATTTTGAATAGTTACTCCATCTAATTATTAGACATTTAAAAAACTATTTTGAATTGTTACTCCATCTAATTATTAGACATTAAAAAAACTCACTGGGCATAGATGCAGATGATGCTGTGAATGTGTGGATATACGAGATTGAATAGAATTTGGAACGAGGTTATATGTGGACAAGTGAGAGTTGCAGTAGTTGGCTACTGGGCGGGGGTGGGGGAAGGGTTAGACATAGGAAGAATTGGAGAGAGGTGATTAGACATGACTTAAGTTCTCTAGCCCTTACTAAAGATACGAGATAGAAATGAGTAGTGGGGTATTCGGTTGGGCCTTAGGCCTTAATTGTTGCTCTTGTCGTGTGTGCATGCTTTGCTTGCTACTTTTTGTCTCTCTGTGCTTTTTTGTACCCTTCGTGCATTTGTTTGTGCTTCTGTGTTGCTCGAGCTGGGAGTCTTTTTGGTAAAAGCCTCTCTACTTTTGAGTAGGGATAATGTCTGCCTACACACACTCTCCTCGGACCCTTTTTTAGTGAGATTCTACTAAGTTGTTGTTTGCATGCAATGACCCACCTTTAATTAACTCGATAAATAATAGCAATCTTAGTGGTTGTAGAAAGATGGAAAAGGCATCTAATTCATACTTCATTCGTCTAGACATAGTTGTCCACATTTTCCCTTTTGGGATGTTCAGAATTAATTATCTATTTAGCTTAGTTCGTAAGCAAATTCGGGGAAATTTCTATGATTGCCTTTGAAGAGTAAATCTGCTTGTTTGGCATCACTCGAGCACAAGTAAGACTCAAGGCCAATTTTATCAATTCGCCACAACCTTTAAATTCATGGGTTTGGAGAATGGGACTTGAATTTGGATGGAATGAATATATGCTTCTTGCAAGAGACAATCGCATGAACATTGCCTCTGTCGCATGTCATGCCTTATGCCCTGATATATGTTGCTCGGGGTCCAGTGACTGAATCAGAAGTAGAAGTAAGGATTAGTTTGGTCATTCAAGTAGATGAAAATGTTGTTCATCGTATTGGAGTTGCCACTTGGGAAAAGCGGAAGCTAGCTTCAAGTTTTCTTCGTGACAAGAAGATATCCACAAACTTGAGAGGGAACGTTTGTTGGACAATGGCTAGGTGGCTATGTTATATGGAGCGGAGTGTTGGGCGGTGAACAAAACTCATGCTTGCTAGCTTCTAGTGGTAGAGATGAGGTTGTTGAGGTAGATGTGTGGTCATACGAGGATGAATAAGATCAAGGATAAGGTCTGGGTGCACACACCCTCTCGAAGCCCTACTTTTTGTGGGATTTTACATGATTAGTTGTTGTATAGTCTCGGCTAACCAATGCTGATTTTGAGGCTAAACTTTAACCTTGATAATTTGATATTTGCTTCAATGGATAATTTAAGCCTATAAGCTGTAACGTCTCATCTTGTTGCAGTCATCTGGCATACCTGATATAGAAGATTTTTCATACCAGAAGCCAAATGTGTTGTCTGCAAATGGTGAGTTTACTGCTATGCATGAATATTGTTTGCCTCTTGAATTCGAGTTCGACTCAAACATGTGTTTTGATCTTAGCAAAGTATTGCATTTTATCATCTTTGGTCAGGATAGCTGAAGTCTTTCAGTTCTCTGTTATTATTTATTAGCAATTTATGTCAGGGAATTTGGAGCTCCTCTATCCTGTACATGCTGTGGCTGCTAGAGTTGCTTCTCCCATTAAACATGGAGGTATGGTGTGCTTTTATGAGGAATGCTAAAGCATTTTGTTAATGAATGACAAATATGAAAGTTGATAAAGTATATCAGTGTGTTGTGTTCAAGAGCCTTATGAAAGAAAGTTTGCACTTTTCAGTTCATATGCTGTTCCATTAATGAAACATACTCATACTTCATTTGTACTCTGTGTTCTGAATGATAACATACCATTTGATAATGCACCAATGGGCTTATGTGTGTGCTATGCTCTCTTGTTTGGTACACACCCTTTGTGCACTCAGATATGTTGAAGAAAAAGTGAAGAAATCAAACGTGAGGAAGAAACAGTGGAATTGACTTGCCATATGCTCCATAAGCTAAAGTTCAACCAACATGAAAATAAAATAAAAATAACCAAACTGAATCTCACGTCTTTAACTTTTTGTAAAGTTGCACAAGGGCTATGTGATTTGAATTTTGTTTTTTTACTTCACAACGTTCAACGTGTAACTTGAAGAGGAAAAATGTGATTGTAGCTTCGGCAGGACCCCCAGACAACTGGGAGAAGGTTCTTGAAGGGATCCGTGTCATGAGATCGTCTGAATGTGCACCAGTAGATACAATGGGATGCGAGAAGGCTGGAAGTTCTCTTCCACCTAAGGTATATAACACCTTTGGGTTTCTATGGATTTCTTGCAAAAAAACCTTTGGATTTGAATTTGAGCATTTCTCTGTTCTTCCCATTTTAGGTTGCTAACATGTGTTGGCATTTTGAGCACTTTTATACATGAGGTGATGGAACTGAAACATATTCTCATTGGTTTCCTTTTTCTTCCAGGAGAAAAGATTTGCTGTTCTTGTTAGTGCACTCTTATCAAGCCAAACCAAGGATCAAGTTACTCATGGTATGTTTTAATTTCCATTTATATCTAACAACATTTGATGTAACAGGATGATCCTAGCCTACGATATCTGGTGAAAAGTATATTTGGAACTTTTAAATTATGAAAAGATTCTGGCTCATCAGTTCTGTGGAAGTGTCTAGTAAATAATTTTGACAATGAAAATATTTAAACTGAGAAGTTTCAGCATTCCCATTGGGGTTGTTATAGAAAATTGCTCTCCCGTTGTTAAACTGAGAAGTTTCAGCATTCGTTTTCTTTTTTTCCCGCTCCAAAAGTATCTCTCGTTTCGTTCTAAAGAAAGCATTAGGTGGTTCATATGTTTCCCGCTTCTCTAGATTAATCTCAAGTTCTCAACCACTCAATTGTCATTTTTTAATCTCGGTGTCCCGGCAATCGTCGAAGTGAATTTTCTTTAGGAACACAGGGAGTAGTTAAGAGAATAATGTACATGCACAAACTTGAGTGTCAGATACATGTTCATCTCTTACTATGGCTCAAATTCTTATACATGGACGTGGGCATGAGAATTTGTGAATGTTCCCACAATTGACTTTGTGTCATCTTCGTAAATACATTGATTTTGGATTTCTAGTTGATTTGCTTGCATGAACTTGTTAATTTGTTGAACATAACTTAACATTTCATGTTCTCCACCCTGATATTGTTTCATAATCGTAATAATGCTTGTGCATGCTTGGTATATATTTCATCCCCAGGTCTCATCCCTCCCTCTGCCAGCTAACTCAAATATACAGACACAGAGCTATCTATGTTGAGATGAAATTAAAACACTTCATTAAAAGAAATAAATATAAGAAGAAGACATGCATTCCTCACCAAGTACATATTTGGCATACTCTCTGAGCACTTAGAAGCACATTATTAGCACTCAGGAAATCTCTATCTCCACCATGAAACTGTATGACAGTTTTCTGTTAGATAAATCTTCTTCGAAAATAAGATTCGTGAGTCGAACTCAGTTACTATGGAAATCCACCAATATCACACCTCTCCATGAATATATCCATTTCCTTCTTGCACCAGAACCTCTATGTCCTATTTGAAAGAGAATCTGTATTCTGTAATGAGGGACACAACTGTAAACATTCCACAGACTCTGTTTTATAATCTCCAAGCACAAGGGGAATGCTGAAATAAATGTTTATTAGTTTCACCGATCTTGTAACACTACTGTGGAAGTGCATATTTGGCATACTCTGTTGTACTACAGAGTTAGAGAATGCCATCACCTTCAACAGAACTTGAATCTTCCAAATGAAAGAATCTAACGTAATTGGGTACTATGTGGATTAGATGTCAGATGTTCAAAGAATTCCCAAGTCCCAACCCAATTCTTTTAAGCAACATCAGGAAAACTGAAAAGACGATTTGAGAAAGTTCCATTTCAAGATCACATGAAAATTAGTTTATTGCCAACAACATACTATTTCTCAAAAGCATACTAAAGTTATGCTAAGCTATAAAATCAATGAACCTTTATCTTCAAAACCTATCTTATACTTTGCTAAGGGAAGGAAAAAAATTTGTATGCCTCTGGGAGAAACTTGGGCAGTGACAAGTAGAATTATCACCACCTACAACATAAATATCTCATCCATTTGATAGAAGTTGCGCCCTCTCTTGATAACCCCCTTACAAGAGAGTGTGGTTTTGGATGACTAAGAAGAACAATACATTGTTGAGACTCTTCCTTGACAGTTACAATGCACCATGTATATTATTTTCTGTACCGACTTCTTGTTTCTGTATACCTGTAACTGTGTGTGCGCATGTGTGTTTTCTTCACTTATATAAGTAATACATGAGTGTAGCTCTTCTAATATATAGGAGCAATTCAACGTCTCTTGCAAAACGGACTGCTTGAACCTCATACAATTGACAAAGCTGATGAAGAGACCATCAAGACCTTGATTTACCCAGTATGTTAAGTTCAGATTTATGTATGAGATGGAAACTCATGTCTAACTAACTACAAAAGCAGCTTACACAATATATGTTTTTGTGGTTGGTTCTTTGCCAAGTGACTTGCATCAGAACCTTCATAAATCTTCACTTCTTCTTACCTTTTTGCGTGGTTCTTGGATTTATTCTGTCTCTTGTGGCTGGAAAAACAATATGTAACACTTTGGACTTGTTGATAGGTGGGGTTCTATACCAGGAAAGCCATTAACTTGAAAAAAATTGCAAAAATATGTATTGTGAAGTATGGTGGCGATATTCCTAGCACACTGGATGAACTACTAAAACTTCCTGGAATTGGTCCTAAGATGGCTCATTTGGTATGCTGTCTGTATCATATTACTTAGTCAACTGTTCTTGGTGCATAATACTCATCATTATGTAGGCTATGAATGTTGCTTGGAACAATGTCCAAGGAATATGTGTCGATACTCATGTTCATCGTATTTGCAATAGGCTGGGATGGGTTTCAAAAGCCGGAACTAACCAGGTAATATCAAAATATTTGAGTGTAGATATATAATGAAAGGCATGTTATGCAAGTTTATTTGTTTGAATTGTCTTAATTGGCAAAGCATTCATTGAGATCCACATTAGTAAAAGACAAACCCGTTTGCCTCACACTAAAAATGAATCCCTCTGTCCCCAAATGATTTTCCCAAATTTCTTTTTTGGGCATCCCAAAATGATTTTCTCATTCCTTCAAAGGAAATAATTGTGTCGTTTATATTATTTTTCTCTCCTCTCCATTGTTCCATTTTCACATAGGAAGATGAATTCGGGACAAATGGAGTATAATTTTAGAGTTGTTGAAGAGACAATTAGCCTTTATTCATCCCTTATTGTGTCCCTGAGCAATCACGTCAAGGAAACCAACAATATAAATAACATTAGCTGCTAACATTATATTTGGATGTGTGCAATTCATGTGTTCTAACTTTTCTCTGCTATAGAAAACTTCATCTCCAGAGGAAACTAGAGTGGCTTTGGAGAAGTGGCTACCAAAGGAGGAGTGGGATCCAATAAATCCACTTTTGGTATGTTGGATAATGAATTGTTGTGTACTCCCTCCTTCCGGATTTAGTTGTCCACTTCTTGTATTCATTTGTCCAGAATTAGGGGTTCACTTTCCATATTCAATAAATGATTAATTGTCTAAAATAACCTAGAGAGAGTGTATGAGCATCATTTGGATGAAATCATAGTTTTTAGAAAGTGGACAACTAAATCCAAATAGAGGGAGTGTTTATTATGCATAAATATTTCAATATGTTAATGTATTTAAATTTTAAAAGGCTATTCACATACTAGCAAGCTTGCATCAATCAACTTGCGAACCTTAAATGAACTGTGCTGCGTTTGATGTTTTTACCAGAAAACAAAAAAGATTTCTTCTTTGGTCTCTTGCTGCTTTTCACTGTGACAATGTCATCATCATTTACATGTGATAACATGAATTTTATTTTGACCAATCAGCATCTATATTATGATGGATGATAAACAGGTTGGGTTTGGACAGACAATATGTACACCACTGAGACCTCACTGTGAGAATTGCAAGGTGAATAACCTCTGCCCTTTTGCTTTTAAGGAGACATCCAGTCCATCATCATCCAAATCAAGGAAGCCTCTTTCACATTACAACTAGTACGTATTGTTACCGTTTTTTTTTGTTGCTGAAACATCGAAAGCCTTGGAGTTCAACTGGATTGTATAGTCTAGGTCTCCTCTGGCAGCCATCCGAGAATTGATATTTTGAGAACTGCAAAGCATTCTCAGTCTGTCCAGTTTTGTAAAAACAAGTGTGTAATATAGGTGAAGCCCCTTTATGCATCTTTCTTGTTTTGTGTGGGTGATGCTATGGAGACCAGTGGTACTCATTTTGTAAATGCAAATGCTTTTCCTACCCAAGTACTTCGATTTTATTATTACCTTTGTACATGGTTACTTTTGTACATGGCACTATGTGTGTGTATCACTTTCTTGTTTCCTATCAGGTCATATGCTTGCCTAGTGTGAATAGAGTTGAACTCCGTATAAAATTGTGAATTTTTTCATAAGATTTTTCTCTCAAATATCTCGTGTATGAAATGCTTGAAACACACAAACACAAGGAAAATAGTGTAAGGTGAAAAACACATTATGTGTACTGGGTTGTCCAATCTTTATGCCTGCATACCGTCCTCAAACAAGTGTGTTAGAAATCTCCACTAACTCAACCTCCAAAAATAAGTGAAATTTTCACTAAATAGGACTAAAACATAATGATTTTCCTAATGTAGGACTTAAACTTTTTTATTTCTTAAATAGGACTTAATAATGACCTAGTGGGAGGAATAATGTCAGTAATGATGGACATTTATTTGAATATTGACTACTTCATAATGACCAAAGGTCCTACATTGGGAAATAAAAACATATGGTCCTATATTAGGAAAATCATTATGTTTTAGTCCTATTTAGGTAAATTTCTCCAAAATTAATGGTGTTGGAAAAATCTTATAACACGAGAGCTTGAGTTCATAAGCCTCTCATGTTATACATAATGCAAGTCTAAGCTCCGCTTTGAGGCCCGTCCCAAATCTATCAAAACCAAAAGGATTTCTTTACTCCATATTCAGGCTACGGGATACAAACACTTTTTCTGGGAGAGACACTACTTTGTTTTCAACCTCATTACTCGACAACTAGGAACTATGCAAATAAAATTTGCCGATCATGTGTGTGGCTTGTTCTTTACTGAGGCAAGAAATGAATGCAATTATCTATGCGTACATTGCACTTATGAGTAGGAATGTTGGTTTTATGTGTGCAATTTAGATTCCTGCTCTGATGTGGAAATTGCAGGTAGCCCTTTCTTTTATGGGTTCTTCTCAATGAGAAGAAGCACCGTGGTCCTAAATCGAGCTGTGTATTTGATAGTGGGTCATATTGAGATAGATATAAATCCTTGCATGCGCATACTGTGCCTCATCCAAGATAGATATAAATCCTTGCATGCGCAACTCGTGTTTGAGATGGATTCTGGAGAGTTCTATACTGTGCCTCATCCAAAATTTGAATGCCCTGACACAAGACATCACCATTTCGACCTGTATTTGTATGCTCGTGATGGCCAATTTGTGTCTCTGCCGTACTGACATGAAACTGGGCTATTGTATTTATGGATTTTGGACTATGAAAATAGGTTCAGTCCCACTGTCTTCTACATAATAATTTTTCAAACAATCACCACTAAATAGAAAATGACCCCCCTTCTCATTAACAACAAAAAAAATAAGGAAATCTTAGTAGAAAAGTTCTCCTTTAGAGTAGATTTCTTTGTCTTTCTGGTGGAACCCAAAATCGAAACCAGTATCCTTCACAGATGAGTTTTAAGGTTTTTTTTTTTTTTTGCAATTTCTTAAGACTAACTCATAAAAATCATCCATGAAGATAATTGATTTTGATTTTGAGTTACACGAGGAAGATGAACAATTGAGAGAGGAGTGATCGTTTAAGTTTTGGATTTAGAACTTCAAACTCATCAACAGGTTTAGGAAGGAGGGATGAAACTTAATTGAGGGAGAGAAGTCTGAATATACACATTTATCCATGTTCTTAACTGAAATGTTAACAAAGAACCATTTGTAGAAAACAATATAATAATTGGGGACTAAATTATTGATATTTGATATGTATGGACTAAAAAAATAAAATGACATATAACTGGGGACTATTTCCAGATCCTCCATTAATGATCTCAACTGGATTCTCACACCATTAAACGGTCATAATAAATACTGCTGCAAAATGTTGAATCTACAAATCCAGTTTTTCACTGCTGCATTATATAAAGGCTCAGACAGAACAGATTTGAACTGAAGGAAAACAATTACCACCTGAGAATCCACAGGTGATCAGATTTATATTGGAGGAAAAGAATTAAAGATCAAAGTGACATGGAAGGCGTCAACATTTACGCGTTAAGCACATGTAGCATGATAGCATTTTGAGCATGCATGCGATTCTCTGCTTGCGGGAAAACGATTGAATTGGGGGCTTCGATCACTCCATCAGTCACTTCGACACCTCTCTCGGCTGGTAAACAGTGCATGAAGTAGGCCTTTGGTCCAGCTAATGTCATGAGCTCCTCGTCAATCTGATGATGGCAAGTACAAAAAAAAGTGTAATTAATCACAAAATGTTGAATCTCTCATTCACATGACTTTAGTTGCCACGATAGCCAAAAGACCTTGTGCTCGAACTACATAACAGAGGTTCTTCCAAATGGGAGGTCACATGTTCAAACACTAGTGGGGGCATTGACTAATTGTGCTTCAGTACGTTGAAAACATATTGATGGAATAATACCCCCCGGCCCTGTAAGATATTGGGCCCGATCCATGGGAGAAGCTCATTGGGAAAACCCTAAGCTCTTATTCCACTATAAAAGAGGGGTGACACCCAAGGAGAGCCTCATGCTACGATCTACACATTACATCTCTCTCATATTCATCATCTTCCCTATAGAGCTTCAAGCTCCATCAATGGCTATCACGCCCAAATACGGTATAATACACCCCCGATCAGTAATAATACACCACCCCCTTTGGCATGGAACCGCCTAAAAAGGCCACTAGTTTTCTCTTGATTTGGGTTTCCAAGTAAACATCGAGTTCATATTTATTATAGTTACATTATTATGATTCGATATTATTTTGTATGTATTTAACATACCACAGTGGATTAAATTCCATCACATATGTATGGACTGATGGACATATACTACATTATTAATAGAGTTAATAGTGTTTAAGAAAAGTTGCAAGGATAAGCTCCATGTGTGTATGTATGCCATAAATTACTGCTAAGTCAAGCAAGACAATACACAGGAATACATTGTATGTCAATGAAGTTCACCTGAAACCCTTGGAAAACTTTTCTGCGATATTCAGCTTCTTCCTTCTGTCCCATACTGGCCCAAACATCAGAGTATACGACATTGGCCCCAACCACAGCTTCTTTTGGATTGTTTGTGATCTCTATTTTGCTGATACCAGCCCGTTGTGCCTTTTCAACTGTTTTCTGATCTGGCTCAAAACCCTTGGGGCATGCACAGACAAAATGGAAAGGAATAACAGCTGCCAACAGCAACCAAGAATGCACAATGTTGTTTCCATCTCCAACATAGACCACCTGGACAATTGCATTTGTGACATTAGATTGTATTGAATATGACGTTAAAGACTAGGATGAGTTAAGACCTCAATCAAGTAGGATTAAATCCATTATATACTCTTAAATTGTGTATCTAGAAGCCAGACTTATAGAAAAGAATGGCAGTGGAGCTTGGGAAAGAAACTGGATCAGAAACACTGGGTGGTAACAGAGTAGGTATAATCTGACCTTTGTTCCTTCCAAGTGACCAACGTGTTCGATGATGGTAAGTGCATCAGCCATGATTTGGCATGGGTGGTTGTAATCTGTTAATCCATTGACAACAGGAACAGTGGCATACTTGGCTAGGTCAAGGATATCCTGAAAACAAATAAACAAGTACCATCAATTCAACAATCAAGCCACAACCATCTCCTGAGCATCAACTAATGGTAATGAATGCGACTAATGCGTTATAAAAAATGAAAAGGATGGGACTAATGCTTACACCATCACAAGAAAACCATAATAAAACTCACCGGCATACCTGATGACCAAACACACGTGCCATAATGATGTCATTATAGCGAGAGAGTACACGAGCAACATCTCGAGTTTCCTCACGCTTACCCATCTGTATGTCGTCAGGTCCCAAGTATATAGCATGGCCGCCTAACAAGAAAAATCCAGTCTCAAAAGATACTCGTGTTCTCATGGATGGCTTTGCAAAAATCATTGCCATACTCTTCCCTTTGAATGGCTGAAATGACCTGTCTCCTGATTTAAGCAAAGCCTTAACCTCTTGTGCACGGTCTAAGATCTTCAAAATTGTAGCCTTATCATAATCGGTAATGTGCAGAAAATCCTTCTTATCTGATTTCACTGCCAGTCAAAGTACACATAAGAATATCAATGGATGAACTTAAGCAACGATTAGAAATATCGCTATTGTCGGAGGTAGCAAAACTACAACAAATTTGGAAAGGGGCTAAAAATGCATTTCTCCTTGTTTCATGGGGGTAACCTATGTTTCCATCCAATGAATTCAGATAATCTTAAAAACAAAATATCGAGTATGTATTGAAACTTAAAATCTACATAAATATTAGTGTATATTATGAATATTGATGTTGGTGAAAAATCAAAAGAACAGTGAAAGTATTAAAGACAACAACAACAACAATAATAATAATAATGTATCAATAATATTGAGATAATCAAAATTCAAATATCTATAATATTAAGCAATATTGAGATGTTATCTGTGGTATCACTAGCATCATAGATATTAAGAGAAGAGAAGATTTCCATGTTTTAAATGGTTACAGACACCGGCATTGATATATCCATCGATATTGCAGTAAGTGCCGACATATTCATCCACACCAATATTATCAACCTTGATTCCAAGTGACTCGCACTATTAAAAAATTATAATATTGCACGCAATAAAAACTACAAATTTCAGTCACATTATTAAAACCAAATCCCAGGCCATTTCCGATTAACCAAATAACAATACTACACCAGAATCTGTTAGAGAAATCTAGATAGCAGAAATCAAACCCTATCTAGCAAGGAGCAAAAAATGATATGTTAAACGCGTAGATAAATTCTGGAATCCTTTTTTAAAAAAATGACAATACAAACCCTAGAATAAAAAAGGAAATACCTTGGCTGGTGATGGTCCGGCGAAGGGCGGTTGGAACAGCGGAGATGCAGAGGGAGCGGCGCAGGGCGGGGCCGGAGAGAGAGGATCGAGAGGAGAGAGATGTAGTATCGAGATGGAGTAAAGTTGAAGAAGAGTAAGGAGTGAAGGCCGCCATTGTTGTAGAGCTGGAGCCGAGCTTGAGCTTGAGCTTAAGGATTGGGACTCCTGAGGGAATTGGAGGTATAAAATCAGTGTATGATTCTAATTAGGATAATGGTATTTGTACCAACAATTTGTATCCCATTTTGTGCACTGCAGGAAAAACCAACATTTTGTGTGCCACATTTTGATGTACATTGGGAAATGATGTTGTGGGTCTAGAGCTGTTCTCCTAGGCCAAAAATGAGAAAGAAAAAAAGGATGACTGGACAAAAACTATTTCGTTTTGTACTAGAAAAATCTAGACCAAACCAAAATGGAGATAGTATTATTTTTACTTCTTAGCTTTTGTTGATTTGAGCATAAGAATTGATTAAAGACCTGCATATACCAAAATGGAGTTGATTTATGAATAAAAAATTGAAATTTAAACTCGATATTCGTTTTAAAGCAGTGATATGAAGTGTATTTTGATATTTTATTTTTAAAGTTTAATTTCTGAGTCCAATAGGTATACGTTATACCTATACTTTGCAGCTAATTTTTGAATGACAAATGATAATGGCAATGAACATATATTAAATAATCTTAAATTATTGGAGTGAATTGGATAGGAGGAAGGAGTAAGAGAGAATTGGAGAGTAGAGGACGCAGAGCCGACGCTATTAGGAGGATCACGCATCACTACTTCACTACTCACCAAACAAAATGAATGAGCATTCAAAGAAGAAATACAAAATTATATTAGCATTCAAGACATTCAATTATTCTAAACAAGATGAATAAATCAAAGAAATCGCACCTAAAGAATACGTAATTGGAGTCTGGAGATGGGGAAACCAAATTCCCTTCGATTGATCCTAGCATTGTCACCTCATGATTTAATTAGTCTAACCCAAGGCTTCGTAAATCACAAATAGCTAGGCGAAATACAAGTCAGCCAAATACTAGAGCCTAAACTTGTCATTTATTACTGCATGTCTTAAAACCATGGGAAATACTAAGGAAGAGGTAGAAGGATTATTGTACCAATTACTTTTATGGTAACAAAACATGTAACAATATTTTACCTTTGTTCAATGATAATCTCTAAGAATTCATTATTTTCGCTTCAAATTCTTATTGACTGAAATGTAACACCTAAACTTGTATAACCCGGTTACCTAGATTATTTGAGCTGGAGTAGTTACCAAGATGGTAATTACAGATGGAAACTTGATGAATAATTTAAAACCAATTAAACTTTAATATAAATAATAAATTCAAATATTTATTTCGGAGTAATGTCTGAAACAGTGTGGAAGCTTAATTAATAAAACATAATCAGTTCATATTACATTTTCTGGGAACTCGCCCGAAAAGGTATTTATTCAAATAATGCATAATAATAGTGGTCCACTACATCTCATCACTCTCGTTGACCTCCGGGATGGACTCCATGATCAGTGTTGTTACCTGCGTGTAGCAAGTAAAACAAACTACACGCTCATCGTAAGCTGAGGAATACGCTAATACAACAATTCCCAGTTGAATAGCAAGTAAACATATGATTATTCATGATGTGGCATACTATAGCATATATGCTCAAGATGATGATGATGATAAATACTTGATGTCATACATAATCATTATGATTGTTCTTGATGATGATTTCATGCTGCATGAAACTAACGTGCAAGGACGACCCTTGCGCTATGAGAATCGCCCATTGGATACGATGAACTCACGCCACCTTAGTCTCACAGGTGAGACTAGAAAGGTGAGGGTGGTACTCGAAAGCTTGAATACCATGTACGTACACTAAGCCCAAACGTGTGATGTCGGACTAGTAAGTCCCGCACAATCACGCTGTAAGAGACGCATGAGGCATGATATCTTACGCATGCATATGATGTGATATGCTTCAATATGAATAACGAAATGAATCATATGATATGAACAATTTGCAAACAATATTAATATATAATCATGTATTAGTTTATTGGGATGAAACATGTTCAAAATATCATTTAAGTAAGCTACGGGGCTTGAAACGGTCGACCGTTTGGCACGGCGGTCGACCGTGCTTGATTTCATCTCGTCGGATTCCGGATCACCGTGACGGTCGACCGTTGTTGACTAGCTGAAAGTAGTGGCGTTCGGCTGGGCTGGCGATGGTGGACCGTTTGATGGCGGCGGTCGACCGTTCGATTGACAGTAGTAGTTCGTTCCAAAGTTTAATTCGACGGTCGGCCGTTTGCGTCGACCGTTCGGGTCTACGAATCTTATTTTTGATATTTTTGGGTGTCTAAAATACTTCTTTAATTCATTTTAACACCTATGATTAACATATCTATGTATTTGAAAGATTTCTAACAATTATATATATTTATGTATGGAAAATATTAACAAATACATATTTTAACTTTGTGGGTTTGATAAGTTTGTTCTTAAATACAGATGACTTATAATATGACAATCAATCTTAATGATATATCTAGATTGATATTCAACCAAGGATTGCGTTACTAGGGTGCAATGTACTCGCCTTGATATTGTAGAAGACGGTAGTGATAGAAAATGATAATACGCCTCAACGAACGTTCAACGTACGGTCACCCCTATCAACTTCGAGCTTCCGACGCTCAACCTTCTTGAAAATAACCTATAAAAGTTCCTAATAACCATTAGAGAGTTGACGGTAAGCATTTGGAAAGAAACGATATGAATATGGTAAAGAAACATAACCAACCCGAGGAGCTCGCCACCACTGGCGCAGTCCCGGTATTTTGGTCATATCTCCTTCGTTACTTAACGAAATCACGAACCGTTTGTTGGGTTGGATTAGTAACACCCGGAGATACAATTTTGGTACAATAAGTATTTCGAAAAAATGGATAAAACATTACAGAATTGACGAAGAAGTTGCTGCGGTGTTTTGAACTCAGGATTTTGGGAAACTTTGATACTTCTTCTTGCTCCTTCTTCTTCTTGGGCACAACAAAGGAGATAAATGGAGCTGGTTTTCTTCCTTCCTGGATTGCCGACAGTGTGAGAGAGAGATGGAGAGGGATTATGAGTGATGTATGGAAAAATAATGGTGGTGATTGTGAGAAATTTGGAGTGATATATAGGTGAAAATTGGACTTATTAGGTAATGGAGGAGTTAGTGGGTTTTGGGTGGCTTATGGAAGGATTTGGAAGATATGGTTGTGTGATTGAAGAAATTTGGAGATTTAAAATATTCTCCTTCTCCGTAACTGATAAACTAGCTAAAACGGTACGTGCTTTTTCGCCCAAACTGTTCCGAATTGAAAACGGATCGCGTTTTTGGAATTAGACTGTCAAAACTAAAATTTTGATATAATTAAAATATTTTTCTAAAAACTTTTATTTTTCAGTGTCGGGTCTGTCTCAGGTATTAATTAATATTTAAATTAATTAATTATTTTAGGCCTAATTTCGGGGTGTTACATTTCTCTCCCCCTTAAAATAATTTCATCCTCGAAATTACCTGATCACTGATCGTTGAAAAGTTGTGGATATTGCGATCGTATGGACTCCTCAGCTTCCCAGGTTGCTTCTTCGACAAAGTGACTTCTCCAAAGCACCTTAACTAAGGGTACAGTTTTGTTTCTCAGTACCCGAACTTCTCGTGCAAGTATCTCTACAGGTTCCTCCTCATAGGAAAGATTCTCATCCAAAGTGACTGTCTCTGTTGGAATAATGTGGGAGGGATCTGATCTGTATCTTCTCAACATCGATACATGAAAAACATCATGAATCTTGTTTAGCTCTGGTGGCAATTCCAACCTGTAGGCTACAGGTCCCACACGTTCTGTGACTTTGTATGGGCTTATAAACCTCGGACTGAGTTTCCCTTTTTTTCCAAAACGTAGAACTTTCTTCCAGGGAGAAACTTTCAAGAATACCATGTCGCCAACGGGATATTCAATGTCACATCGCTTGAGGTCTGCATATGATTTCTGTCTATCTGCTGCTATCTGAAGTCGTTCTCTGATTAACTAAACTCTTTCCTCTGTTTCTTGCACTAGTTCTAGACCTTCGAGTTTTCCTTCGCTCAATTCAGTCCAACAAACTGGTGTTCGACATTTCCTTCCGTACAGTGCCTCATACGGAGCCATCTCGATACTTGCCTGATAACTATTGTTATAGGCAAATTCCATCAGAGGTAGATACTTTTCCCAATTGTTTCCAAAATCAATGAAGCATGCTCGCATCATATCTTCAAGAATCTGAATAACCCTCTCAAACTGTCCGTCGGTCTGAGGATGAAACGCCATATACTGAAATTCAATTTGGAACCAAGAGCCTTCTGTAAGCTCTTCCAAAATTGGGAAGTAAATCGAGGATCACGGTTTGAAATGATGGATGACGGTATTCTATGTAGTCTAACAACTTCGCAGATATACAACTCAGCCAGACGCTGTAGTGTAAAATCTCGCCAAATTGGTAGGAAATGCACCGATTTTGTCAAACGATCAACAATAACCCATACTGCATCATTCTTCTTTGGGGACAATGGTAATCCGACTACGAAATCCATCGTAATGTGGTCCCATTTCCACTGAGAAATGGTGATTTGTTGCAAAAGTCCTATAGGTACCTGATGTTCGGCTTTGACTTGCTGACAAGTCATACATCTTGATGTGAATTCAGTAATTTCCCTTTTCATGGCTGACCACCAATAACGTTTCTTCAGGTCTTGAAACATTTTGTTACTACCAGGATGCATGGTATACACGGTTCCGTGAGCTTCACGCAATAAGCGATCCCTCACATCACCTGATGGTACTACCTTTAACTCCTTCTGGCTCATCAAATACTGTAAACTCTTATGATCAATGAATATGCGAGTCATCTCGCCATATAAATAGTGTCTCCAAATTTTCAATGCAAGAACAACAACTGCTAACTCTAAATCATGAGTTGGATAATTGCATTCATGAGGTTTCAGCTGTCGTGATGCATAAGCTATGACCTTGCCTTCCTGCATCAGTACACACCCAAGTCCCTGGTGTGATGCGTCATTAAAAACTGTGTATTCAATACTAGGTGTTGGTTGAATTAACACAGGTGCTTGAGTCAAACATTCTTTCAACTGTTCGAAGCTTTTCTGACAAGCTTCTGTCCAAGCAAACTTGACATCCTTTTTCATTAATTTATGAAGTGGTGAAGCGATTCGAGAGAAATCCTTCACAAAACGACGATAATAACCAACGAGTCCAAGAAAACTCCGCACCTCACGTGCATTGTGTGGAGTTTTCCATTCAGTGATTGCTGAAATTTTGCATGGGTCAACCTTGACTCCTTCAGCGGATATCACGTGACCGAGAAAAGTGACTTCATTCCGCCAAAACTCACATTTAGAAAATTTGGCATAAAGCTTATGCTCTCTCAGAATATTCAATACGATGCGCAAATGTTCAGCATGATCCTCTGGTGTTTTTTAGTACACCAAAATATCGTTGATGAAGACTACAACAAATTGATCCAGATACCGTCTGAAAACGCTGTTCATGAGATCCATGAATACAATTGGTGCGTTCGTTAAGCCAAAGGGCATAATGGTAAACTCATAGTGTCCATAACGTGTACGAAACGCTGTCTTTGGAATGTCTTCTGGCTTCACAGGAATCTGATGGTAACCTGATCTGAGATCAATCTTTGAAAATACGGTGGCACCTCGTAATTGATCAAACAAATCATCAATACGGGGTAATGGATAACGATTCTTGATTGTAACTTTGTTCAACTGCCGATAGTCAATGCATAATCTCATCGATCCATCTTTCTTTCAGATGAAAAGAACAGGTGCTCCCCACGGGGAAACACTAGGATGGATGAAACCTTTATCTAATAACTCCCGCAGTTGAGCTTTCAATTCCTTCATTTCTGCATGGGCCATTCGATAAGGTGATGCTGAGATGGGTCCTATACCACGTACAAGATCAATAGAAAATTCTACTTCCCTTGGAGGAGGTAGACCAGGAAGTTCTTCAGGAAATACATTGAGAAAATCACAAACCACATATATGTCCTTATGATTAGGTGTTCCCTTCTGCATATCCTTAACAGTGCACAAGAATGCTTCACATTTCCTGCGAATGAGCCGTTTTGCTTGTATATAAGAGATGAATTTCGGGACTTTCGGCAGTAGTTCTCCCTGAATGATCACCTCGTTACCGTGATCTGCACGAAGTTTCACCACCTGTTCTCTGCGCTCAACAATAGCCTGGTGTTTTGTTAACCAGTCCATGCCAAGTATAACGTCGAACTCCTTGTGAGGGAGTTCAATGAGATCGGCTAAAAATACTTTTCCTTGAGTCATCAACGGACATTGATTATAAACATGTTGGAGACGTAGACTGTGTCCTAGTGGATTTGACACAACTACAGGATGCTCGAGAGTCTCCTTAATGACGTCAAATTTAACAGGCATGGGTACACATATGTATGATAAGGTAGATCCAGGGTCAATTAATGTAGATACAGTGATATTGAATAAAGTGAAAATGCCCATGATGACATCATTAGCCTGTGGATCGGTACGCCCTTGCATGGCATACGTACGAGCTGGTGCTCGTCCTTGCTGTTAACTTGGTGCTGGCCTCTTCGGCTTGTTAGACGCAGCCGTGGAACGATGACTCTGGGTAGGTTCAGTCCGTCAGACAGTAGGAGCGGTCGGCATGCCTGGTGCTGTGGAGAAGACCTCGCCTGGGTTCGTCGGTCAGTCCTTCCGAAAGTGACCTGCCTGACCACACCCAAGGCAAAACCCTATGTGAACTAGCACTCACCAGGATGCCTACGGCCACAAAGTGAGCATACAGGATTACGGTATGCCACTTTTTCCTTTCCACTCCTACAAGTGACCGCTACAGATGTAGAGGGAACAGACTTTGCTCGCTTGTCATGACGAGAGCTACTTGGTGTGGAGAAGGTTCTTTTGTTATTAGGCCCCATCCTAAGGCACGACTGGACGGCCTGGCTTTCTTCTAGTAGCCCTGTTCATAAGCAGCTTTTCTTATGAGCTCCTCATTCAGATCAAGTGCTTTGTTGTAGACGTTGTTGATATCGTCTCAAGGAACTAATATGAGTGATATTGAAAGATCCGGTCTCATGCCCTTGATGAACCTTTTGCAGCGTTTCTCCATGGTGTTGACCAAGTCTTTACCAAACTCGCCCAACCCGTCAAACTGTTGACGGTACTCTGGGAGAGTCAGTTTCTCCTGAATAAATTTGGAGAATTCTTCATATTTGGCCTCGACGCAATGATCGGGCACATACTCTGCTCTAAAGAGTGGCTCGAAGGCAGCCCATGGTACTGGCAGGGGAATGTTGGCACCCACACGCTTCCACCAATCGTATGCGGCATCCTGCAATAACGATATGGCATGCTGACCCCAATCATCGAGAGGTACCTTCAAGTTCTCTAGTACCCTCACCGTGTGTTCCTGCCAACGCTTGGCTATCAGAGGGTTTGCTATCTGATCACCATAGAATTCCTGCGCCCCATTTCTTTTGAGTTTCTCGATCGAGATGATGTGCACAGGAGGCGGTGGTGGAGGTACATATGCTCCATCCATCTGATTGAAGAATTGCATCATGTTCACAACCATTTGTGATTGGAACATAGGAATGGTCATATTCGGGTTCTGACTTGCGAACTGTTCCGAAACTTGCTGAGGTTCTGCCTGAGGCTGTTGTTGTTGGGGTACGTAACTAGATGCTTCGGTGTGCACAGTATGCACACTAACATGCTCAGGGTCCACGTGAGGATTTGCCTGACCGTGAGTCGAATCCTGACTCATTCTATAATTAATTGAAAATGTAATTAGGCATAAATAAACTAATCATTTACCTTCCCGGACAGAGATGTGGAGAGATGCGGACTTGTGTTTGAAACTCTTTTGATTTGATTTCCAAAATCTTTTATTTAAACCAAATGCTCCGATACCAAAATGTAACACCCCAACTCGTATAACCCGGTTACCTAGATTATTTGAGCTGGAGTAGTTACCAAGATGGTAATTACGGATGGAAACTTGATGAATAACTTAAAAACAATTAAACTTTAATATAAATAATAAATTCAAATATTTATTTCGGAGTAATAGTGCAGAAGCTTAATTAATAAAACATAATCAGTGCATATTACATTTTCTAGGAACTCGCCCGAAAAGGTATTTATTCAAATAGTGCATAATAATAGTGGTCCACCAGTCCGTACATCTCATCACTCT